CACTCTATTATAAAATTGTAGTTTTATGATTAAAATAAAGCATCAAAATATAATCTTGTTATACAAGGAAAACCATACTATTGTATGATCTTATGATCTAGGAGTTTAGAAGACTATACAATATTATTTTATTACACTAAAAACTGGATTTTTTTTGAAGGATACATTAGCCTTGCAAGCAATAACTTAAGTTGAAAAGTAAAAGAGAAGAGAGTGCTGATAGAGGCTTTCTTAAAGAAGGGGAAATTACATTCATTACATTTCTATATTTGGATCAGTGATTTTATTTTGATGTAACATTATCCTATTCACTCCTTTATTCCTCAAATGAGGCTGCAGATAATTTTAGCTTTACTGGTAGTTTGTCTATTTCTTTTATAGCTATGACTTGTTAAATTGCACATTTCTAATAGGTGGGTGGGGAAAGGAGACTCCAATCTAACCAAGAATTACATTTGTAAATCTGATACACAATTCTCTAAATATAGATAATTGTATATAGGCTTGGTTAGGTTTTTCTAATAAAAGAAAAATTAATGCATTACTAAAAATTACAAAATGATATATTGACACAAAATTCAGAAGTTTAAGGAGGATATCCAGGAAAGCTGAAGATCATTAAAGTTCTTAGGGTAAGATGGGGAAATAATAGTGTTGTTTTAGTCTGTTTTGTGCTGCCTATAATAACAAATGGGTAATTTATAAATGATTGAAATGTATTTGGTTTGGTTCTGGTGGTAGGAAGTTCAAAATATAGGAGTTGCATCTGATGGCAGTGTTCTTAATGTGTCGTAACAGGGTGAAAGCATCACATGGTGAAAGAAAGCAGACATAAGCAGAAGCCTGCTTTTATCAAGAAATCCACTACTGAGATAGTCATCACAGTCTCATGATAAGGGCATTGATCCATTCATGTGTGAAGAACTCTCATGACCTAATCTCCTCTTAAAGGTCCTGCATCTCAAAATTGCTGTACTGGGGATTAGGTTTCCATCATATGAACTCCGGCATATAATCAAGCCATAGCACATGCAGACCAGATTTGCTGCAGATATTAAACATTTAGAGGAGAACTCGTAAGGGTTTAAATATGAAGAAAATACTTGGGGAAAGAAAACAAACATTCAAATGGCTATTGCCACCATCCAGAACAGAAAGCATCATGGTTTCAAGGGCCATACGTAAAATACTCATGATGGTCTTGCTTAAGTAATAAGCATTGATTAGCCCCAGACTGAGTGTTGTTTGTGTCCTAAATAAAAAATAGTAAAATCAAGGTTAAAAAAAGATCAAATTTTTTCCAAATAACTTTATTTCATCCCTGAGAAAAACTCAAGAATTTTTATAGGAATACAAAAGTATCTAATACTAAGCAAATCAAAATCTGTAATGTCTGACTTTAAATAAAAATTACCAAGCATGCAAAGAACAGGAAAATAAAACAATCAAACCAACTTGAATATCACTTTTGATGTTAGACTCACAGATACATATATCAAAACAATTAATGTCATGTGTTTCAAAAGTTAAATATAGAAATGAAATTATAAAAAAATCAAAATCAAACTGTACAGGTGAAAACTAAAATGGGTAAGATAAAAATAAATAAGAAGACATTCACAACAGGTTAGAAATTGTAGGAAAAAGTGAAAATGAAGAGATAGCAACGGAAACTAGAAAAAATAAGGGAAAAAACAGAGTAAAGAAAAGTCATCAGAGCTTCATTAAAATATGAAACAATATCAGGCATTCTAAAAAACATTTTATTGGAGTCCTCCATAAAAAAGAATTTGAGAAGTAAAAATTTTTCAACCAACAGTGTTTGAAAAATTTTCAAATTTAATAACAGCTATGTACTTTATGGATCCAAGAAGCTCAAGAAAATCTAACTATATGAAACATAAAAAAAATTACACCCAAGCAAATCATAATCAACTTTCTCAAAATCAATGATAAAGATAAAACCTTAAAAACAGCCAGAGGAAAAAAGGCACACTATGTACCTAGAAACAAATATAAGGACAGCAGATTTATATTCAATTCAATAAATGCAAGAAGACAGTGGAGTAACATCTTTAAACTATTAATAATAAATGAGATTTTTGAAGAAAAAAACTGTCTGTCTAGAAGTCAATGCCGAGAAAAAATATCTCTCAAAACCTTAAAATGAGTAAAGAGATTGTAGACATATAAAATGTGAAAGAATTTGTCACCAGCATACTCTTACTTCAAAAAATATAAGAGATATCCTTCAGACAGAAGACTAACAGGCAGAAATATAAATGAAAAGAGCAACAGAACAAAAAGAAATGAAACAACCCTTCTGAAAAAAGTGTCTGGCAGTTTCTTAAAAAGTTAAATGTGCACCTCCTTTGTGATCTAACCATTCTACTCATAGATATTTAGTCAAAAGAAATGAAAGCATACATTCATGCAAAAACTTATAATCAAAGTGTTCATGGCAGTTTTATTTGTAATAGCTTAAAACCATAAGCAACTCAAATGTTAATTAACAAAAAAATGATACACAAACTGAATATATCCAGACAATAGAACACTACTCAGCAATAAAATTGAATAAACAACTGATTTTTAACAATGTTAAGAATTAAAAATAGTTTACTGAATGAAATATACCAAACATAAAAGTACATACTATTAATATATTCTTTCTTTATTATAAATTTCTAGAAAAATTAATTTATATATATATTTATATATATATATATATATATATTGGATCCAACTCCCTTTCTCATGAAGCAACTAGTTGATATACAAGTAAACAATAATTCAGCAAATATTTGCTGGATGTGAATTGTTTTAATAGGCACTGTTCTAGATAATGGGGATAGTGAACAAAGCCAAGAAAGCTCCAGAGACCATCACTCTTCCATTCCAGTGGATGAAGACAGATAGTTACAGTTATATATAGGTCAAAAAACATGAAATATCCAATTTCAAATGAAAAGTTTAGTTTATTATAACTCAAACAAGAAGCAGTACAATTAATCAAACAATGTGCCTAAACTACCCACATAGATTTTTTTCATTTTAATGGCAGCTTGCTTATGCAAGCAGTGAGGAAGCCTAGAGAGCACGTGGTGACAAAATCATGAAAGGCATTTTCCACAGCTTGTTGAGAATTGAATATTTTTCCTTGCAAGAAGTGGTCCAAAACCTGGAGAAGTGGTAGTCAGTTGGTGTAAGGTCTGGTGAATACAGTGGATGACAGAGAGTTTCCAAGTCCAGCCTCTGTAGTTTGAGCAACATTGTTTGCGTGACATGTGGTTAAGCATTCATTGTCTTGCAATGGATTGGCCTGTCTTTATTGACAAATCTTGGCTGCTTAATTGCAAGAATCCTCATTTCATCCAGTTGGTTGCAGCAAACATGCACTGTAATAGATTGACCAGGTTTCATGATGCTGTAGTGCATAACTCCAGTTCTGGACTATCAGACACCATTAGCTTTTTATGATATTCCACATTGTGCTGAACATTTGTGATTGTCAAAAATAATCTGTATTTCATAGCACATGAAATATGATGTAGAAGTGGTTTGCCTTTATGTTGTGACAGTGAAAAAAGGCAAGCTTCAAGGTGATTTTTCTTCTGATGCTTGTTTAATTTTTGTGTTACCCATCTATCCAGCTTCTTTACCTTGCCAATTTGTTTCAAATGGTCCAATATTGTTGGAATAATAAAGTCAAACCTTGCTGCTAATTCAAGCATAGGTTGAGATGGATTCACTTCCACTACAGCTTTCAGCTCATCATCATCTACCTTGGTCTCAAATCGCTCACGTGGCTCATGTTCAAGGTTAAAATCACTACAATAGAATTTTTCAAATGATCGACATACTGTATTCATTATATACATCCTACCCAAACACTTTGTTAATATGTTGAGCTATCTGTATATCATTGGTTCTATGACAGAACTCATATTCAAAATAAAATAAATTTTTGATTTATCCATGGTTTCACAAAAATTGCTCTAAAAACTGTGAAAGAAAAATCACAAGCCAAACATGTGTTTGAAAGACTGAGGACGTACCTTCTCAATAAACATGAAATATGAAGTGTCAAAGTGAAATGTCAGAAATACCAAACGTCAAACTTAGTACTTATGGGAATCGTACATTTCATACTTTAAACCCATAATATTTAAATGCAAGTGGGAGTAAGTAAGTATGTGTGTATCCAAGTAATAATAAAAACATTATTAAGTAAAATAAGCTATCTGCAGAAGAGCTTATACAGGAAGGAATGGTAATTCAAAGGCTTTGAATCAGGAAGATGCAGTATCATATTTTGGTAGTAATTTCAAACATCTTTTCATCTGAGGTTATTCTTATCTTATGAAACTACCTCCTCTAGTAAAGGATGGTGTTGTCAATGGGAGATTTTGCCTTACTTCATCTGTTTTGTGAAAAGTCATCATTATATGGATAACCTAGGAATACGTACAATGCTTCCTATTCTTCATCTACTCTAGATTTTAAGCGTCATGAGAGCAGTAGATTCCATGGTGCCAAATCACAAACTGGAAAGGGAGGTGCTAATGTTTTACCAGAATGGACAGATGGAGAGAGAGTATTCTTCCTGGTCAAATATTTCTTTAGAATTATTGAGCTTAAAATTTTTATCATTATGGGAAACACCAAAAATGTAACTGAGCTTACAGGACTAAGATAAAGATATTATTTTCCATAGTATTTTTTTACTATCTTGATAAAATGCTTAAGTGCTCCCTTAACTGTTCTAGAATGTAATAAACATGATAGTGGAGTAGTAATCACTGAACTTTCCCAAATATAGGTGATAAGTCACATGAAAGGGTTCTGGATAAAGTGGTAGCTGTCTTTTGCAGAATGCCAACCCTTTCTCTTTGTGTGTATCCTTGCCATTACCACTGCTGCATGCTGCTTTCATGCCAGACTAGTCACCTTTATCATAATGAGCATTGTTGCTTGTCACTATTAAGCCTAAATACAACTTTCCCACCACCAATAACACTGCAGGTTAGAAGTATTTGAAAGATCTGGAGTCAGGCCAAACACTACACATGAAAGAAGGTAAGAAACTTTGAAATTACCTTTCCATTCCTGCCATCTACTGATTCCACACTCTAATAAGCAATATGTTTCAATTGCCTCTGAACTTCAATCTTTTTTCTTCCAAGTGAAATGCATTTTTTTCAGTCTTGTGGTCCTCAGTATAGTGTAGATTAGAAAATATGGCTATTTCTTTTTCTTTAACAAAGATATATTAAAAACAAACAAATATCCTCATAGTATAAGTGGTGTATAAATACACAAGTGGTGTCTCTATTGTGAGCATTTCTCCAAAATTAATTTAATTCAAGGCTATTTTATGTGTTAGGGAAATGCCATATTCTTGCAACTGCAACCAAGGGCCAAAATAAGTGAATAATACTTACTATTGTTATTCTGAATTTGCATCTCAATATTTACATCATTAAAATAAACAGTACACCTGCCCTGTTTGATCCTCACATGAATGATAAATAGCTAAGCTTCTGCCAAAGTCCTTAGATATAGATTTTCTACAAACTGTGCCTTTGGCTAAAGGAAATAATAGCTAAGCAAATCCAGTTGGCAATGGCAGTCAAGTAGCCTACTGCATGAAGACTGCTCTAAGTAGCAGCTGCACCAGTACTGGCATAGTAAGTTTCTGGAAGAGCCTTGTAAATCCGTCTTTTCATTTCAGTATTAATAGACAACAACATTCAAATGTATATGTATAAATAAGGCCAGTCTTTGAAAATCTCTGCAGTAAGCCATTAGAACTGAAAGGGAGTTTATAGTTAGATATACAGGAGTAAAACATGTGCATTTGTTAATTAAATCCAACCATATTTTCCCCCTTAAATGTGACTAAAAGCATTGCCAATTTGATTGATGAATACTTTCCCATAAATCTATGCACAGGATTAGAAAGAGCACTAAAAGAATAAAATGCAGTATGACTGGTGCTTGGATACCAAGATGCAGAAGGCAAATAATCACAGGATACATATGTTAGTCCATTTCAAAGTTTCAAGTAGAACATTTCAATAATGGGCCACATTAGTTTTGACACAAACAGAAAATGACCATGTGTTTGTAATTGGTGCAGCCAATTTGTATTGGCTACAAAAGCGTTGGCTACAAAGGTTACAAAAGTGTTGCTTATATTTCTGGTTATGTAAAGATAAAATAGCAATGTTCTGATTCAACAAATTTATTTTTCTAAGGTCAGTAGTAATGATGACACAAAAGACACCATCCCATCACCATCAATAGCAAATAAGACCTGTGTTCTAGCTCAGATCTTTCCCACAAGGGCATACCAAACACCACTTTCTGTTTAATTGGTCAATATTTTTAAGCAATTTAGATAAACTAAATAATTTAGATATAAGTGACTGCTTTGGCTTATAATTGTGATTTATGAATTTATAAAACATTAAGGCAAATTTTACAATTATACTAAAAATTTTGTTTTTTGTGATATATTCTAATAACCTAACAGTTATCAAAGACATGTTTTACTCAAAATCAATCAGTAATTTTTAAATTTATTATATAACAATGATAATCATAAGTATCATTACTTAATTAGTATTATAATTTATATTAATATATCTGCATTCAGTTTTAATAATAACTTATATTTAATAACTTATTAATTAAAGACATATAATTATATTATCTTTTCAAATTTTTCATATATTTAATGTATGTAACAGTAGTACTAAACATCGAATGTTGAAATGCTCATTTAACTTTTTTCATGCAGGTGCATATGATATATTTTCATTTTTGACTGGGATCCAATTTGAAGTTATCTCTGTGGTGAAAAGAAAAAAGCAAAAATTCATATTCAAATTATTTAGATTATATTTTGATTTGCTAACATTTTCCACTTAAATAATAACTATGTCCATTTTGCAGAGGTATAAGCTGTGTTAATGAGAGTTGTCAGGAATTTGTTATTACTTTTAGGCATATCTTAAACATGGTTGAAGAGAAATCCCAATAACGTGTAAAGCTCTGCCTGTTAAATTCTTAGAGGAGTCATTTCTACCAAGTCCTGTGGTTTTATTTTGTGGATGAACACCTATTGACTGTAACTTAATAATGTACCAATATAATTGTTATTAAAATGTACTGATGATATTTTTCCATGATTAAAGATAAGTTAATTTTCATCAGTGCATAGCTTTCCACTTATCTCAGAGAAATGGGTTATAAAGTTAAAACCCAATAGCCCCAATTATTTAACTTTTATAATTAATAATTATATTAATTCATCATCTACATTGTCTAGAGAAAATGTAACTTAATTATTACTGAACATTCCAAAAGTTATTGACTGTGAACTTTACCTGCTGAATAAATGTTATTCTATAAGTACATTTTGGATTTTAATGTAGGTTCTGTTCATTTTTCCTGTTGGAAATAGCAACTTACTCTAAAACTTATATTTGAATAATAATGTTTTAGGAAGAATATAGATACAAAACTATAGAAAATCAGTCCTCTTAGAATAAAATTAATCACTATATTACAAACAGAAGCAATATATTCATATATATTTTAAATTTTTTCTATATTAGCACTTGAATTTATGCTCTGAATTTCATCACAATTTATTTTTCTTCTTATGCCATTTGCCTGTTTCTTGTCCTATTCCTTCCTCTTTAGCATTTTGATTCCTATACATTAAACAAACAGATAACTTCTTTAGTTATAGAATATATTTTCTTTAACTTTCTCTTTGTTCTTCCTCTTTCATTCACTTTTCATTTCATTAGGCAGCAGTTATCAAATTATTGCCTCTCAGCTTCAAATTTACCCTACTCCTGGAAAACAAAGCTTGACTCCATAAATATTTGTCCTTTGCTAGCTGACATGATGTTCGTCTTTGTCAACAGAAAGCAGTAGAGAGACATTGCAAAGGGCAAGTGTTTATCTTCCTTAATTTGCTGTGCTCTGCTTTGCTGGTTCCTGAAGTGCACATGGCTTCCCCTACCTGTGGCTCCCACAGTGTGGGCAGCTTATCTGGGGCTAGGTTTCTGAAGTCTGCTTAAAATGATATTTCGGTCATTTTTCATTCACTTAATATTTAGTATTTATCCAATGTCTACAATGCAGCAGACACTATACTGATGAATGTATGCACCAATTATATTTAACACAAGATCACAAAGTTCAGGAATGTATCACAGAGAATTTATGAACATAATTTAGTTCAGACTACACCTAACAGAAAATGTTTCAGTACATTTTTACTATTTAACAATTTGCCTAATGATTTTTTTTTTTCAGAAGGGCATAGGCATATGGATAAGAAGAAAGGGTATTGCACGTGGAATTAAAGAAAAAATAAAATAAAAACCTTTGTTATGTATCAAATTGTCATCACTTCATGCTCCAGATTTTCACAGAGAACAAATTGTGCCTCCTCATAAAACAGAATAAAGCTATATCTTTATCACCCAAGACAAGTGTTGAAGTTTAAATACAAACATTTACCCTAGCACTTAGAGTACTATATATTGCTTCCAGAAATTAAACAGATATCACAAAAGATAATTCATGTGATTCCTTGGTTACTAAAACATATTCTACATATAGTAATTTTGCTTTATTTTAATTTATATAGTCAATATTTTATTTGAACCCTAAATTCTCTAAAACTTATCAAAGAGCATCTCTAAAGGAGGAAATTAAAAGACACTTTGCTGTCTTTCTTCCTTTATGTGAAATATATATATAGAGACAGACAGATATAAATATATATACAATCTATATTTTATATAAATATATAAAATAAAGAACTGAGACACATTGAAAAATCATCTGAGCCCTTCACAACTATATTTATGATAGAAAGACTTTCATATCTTATTGCGCTTCTTTGACTTTTAGACTTATATTTTTCTTTAGAAGGATTTCTTCCCTTGTCAATTTGTTCAGCCAATTAATATTTAAATGCTTATTATATAGCTTTAAAGTATCATATTCTGGATTGTCAAAAATGGATAAGATGAATTCTTCTATACATTCTTTCCTCTTAAAGAATTCATAGACTAATAAAGGACTTTCACTGAATTAAGGCAACATTTCATAAAAAAAAAAAATCTCCCAAATTGAAAAGGGAAATAAAATGTTCTTCAGATAGAGTGCATAGAGGAAATTGTGTGATAACACTTGAGGTTACAGAGAAGGCAAACAAAGATAGTATTGCGTTATGCAGCAAGAATGAGTAGTTTGTGATCCTCATGAGATGATGGAGGAACTATAGAAAATTTTTTTGGAAAAGTTAGCAGGTATAGATTTTGAAGAGCTTTATGTCATGTCTAATTAAAAAGTTAAAACATAATCCTATGACTATAAACTCTAATTTTTATAATTATGCTAACTTGTGGAGTATCATTATTATGTAGCAATCCATTAAAGGTTAATATTGAAATTAGCAGAAAAAAGACTAATTGTATAATATTTAAATCTTTTTGTAAGTATATAAGCAGTCTTTGACTATAATGCAAACTGATGATTACTTATTTGTTTAATTTGTGACAAAATCTCATTGTTCTTAATCAAATAACTCTAGGTGCACATAATGCCTACATGTAGTAAAGACTAAAAGGAAAAAAAATAACAAACTATAAAATAGACAGGTGAACTACTTCTTGCTAAAAATAGCTTTATAAAATAGGATAAAAGGATAAAATAGCTGTTGTGTTACCCTGCAGATTATAAAGTAGTTCTTGCACACCTCTTAATCCTCTCTTAATCACTGCCGTGAATTTAGCAGAACAATTTGAGAAAGTTTATGCTGGGACTTAACCTACATCTAATCATCAGTTCACCTTATCAAATACCTTATAAATTACTTCAGTGCATATTTAAGACTCTAAATCTCAGGGCAGAATTGTCAAATGCTAATTATTATTTTGTACCTATCACACAAAGACAAGTATTCTTCAAAGTGAAAAACTTTCAGGAAAAGTAGATATGATCCATTTCTAAAATAGTTGAGAAAAGCTAATGCAACTATTTTCTTTTTTGTTGTTTTATTTCATTAGTGAACAATAAATTTTTTTGTGGTTCTAATAGTGCAAATAAAATATAGAATATTTATTATGAAAACCATACTATTTTATCAATGTCATCAAACAAAGTGATATTGAATATTAATATTATGAAAATAACTATATTAAGCAGTAGAAAATAGACAAATATATGAATACAAGTACCCACCTTCAAAGGACTTATATTTAGTAAGAGATGTTTCAAGGATTATTACAATGTAAAAGAATGGCACAGTGTTTAGAAATTCGGTATAGGCCTCTATGCAAGAGTTCACCTGTGAAGCACGTCTTAAAGTATAGAAAAATAAATGATTGAGCTGGGTCATAGTTGTGGAAAACAAAACTTTTAGAAGAAATAGTTCTTTTTGAATGAAATCCTGAACTATATAAAAGACTGGGATTTAGATATTATTATAGCCTTGCAAACTAAAACAGTAAAATTTTACTTTGCTGAGTAAAATATAAATTAAAAAAGCCACCAAAGGCTATTGGGAAAAAAGTATAATGATACAAACAATGCCTTATGTAGATTGAAAATCAGTAGTTTGAAGATACATGTGTTTAAATACTCTGATGGGGAATAGATAGACCTACATGGGAACCATGGATCTCGGTAAAGCTATAAGAATGACTTCAGGTAGCCCCAGAGACCATGGCCATGAGAAATGAAAGCATGAATAACACGAACAATGTGACAAATATTTTAAGACAAAATCTTGAAAACTTAAAGACTGCCTGTTTTCAGAGAAGAAAATGTCAATAAAACTGACACATTTTAGGCTGAGTGTGAAGACAGTTAACAAATTGAGTATAGAAAACTATGGAATGGTCTCATTTAGAATAACTTTTGAAAGCAAAACCAGAGGAGTAAATTACAAATTAAGAATAGTTTTCACTGGGAAGATGAAAGGTAGCAAAGGCCCAAGAAAAGCGTACTTTACCAAAGTCAGCAGTGACCATTTTGGAATGAATAGTTTCTCCTGCATATTATAAAGAAAAAATATGTGTGCTTTATATTTACTACTTTAAATAGTTTGAGTTGGAGTTAACAAGTACATTTTTCTGTATATTAATGGCATAATAGTTTGAACTTTGCATGTAATTTTTATGTGATATGGTTTTCATCGCAGATTCACCAATTACCATCTTTAGATGGCAGAATAAAGTACCTTCAGAGCCACTTAAAAGCTGACTTTAACATGGAGTGGCAGAAGCGTCTCTTCAGACGGACACCTCTTAAATGAAGCCCAGTTTCAACAAAGGAGCTAAAACCAATTTGGCTGAATTGTTATGTTACTTGACATCAGAAGTAAGCAATACGTATGGACAACTACATGTGCAACTAAAATTAAGAAAGTTATAGAAACCAATCATTAAAGTTCATATTACTGTTAATTAAAATAAAATACAAAACCAAAATAATAATGTGTAAATTAGGATAGGCTAAGTTATATGTTGTAAGAAAACACCTCAGATTTTAGTGGTTTAATACAACAAAGGTTTATTTTGCACTCATGTTGACACTAGTATGCTCTGGGTGCTCTTACAGTGACTCACCAATACAGGAAGGTCTGTTCTTATGGCTCCACAGTCTCATCTACAGTCTGTCTCCAGGGATAGACAGGCATAGGACCACAGTAGAGGATCTCAGATCAGCAATTAAATGCCTCTGCCAGGAAATGAGTTATTTCCATTCACAGCCCATTGGCCAGACTTTTCAGATAGCCCTTCCCCATGACAAAGCATTAAGAAACGACTAGCATTCTCATCACTGAATGGTAAGGAGGACCAGTCATCGCTGATTATAATTAATATTTGCAAAAAGCATCATATTGAAAAGTACCAACGAATCATTCCAATATTCATACTAGTAGCACTTAGTTCATTAATTTTCTTCATGAGTAATATTTATGTAAAATTTATTTTTTCCCTAAGATAATCTGGGATTTTGTTTTCAGAGTTTCTAATCACTATATACTCCATATAATGATCATTTCTGCCCCCCTAAAAGGAAACATAGTGTGAGGAGAGTTTTCAACATATTAGCCAGAACTTTGTAAATATTCATAACAGCCTACAAGCCTCTATTACTATAGTTCACAACTCTTAGAGTGCTCTCATAGTATTTGATTGGAAATAGATTATCTTGATGTTTGAGAAGTCAGTATTATTTTTATGTATGTGTGTTATCCTGTCATAGTCTTCTAAATTGCTTTAATATCTTCCCAGTTTATAAAAGTTTATACAATTTAACCATTCCATTGAAAGCCATCATAATCTGTGCCCTACCTATTGTTGGTTCTTAGTTCATTCTCCCCTTCTCTCACTGTACTCTGATCACACTGGCCCTCTCTTGCTTTGAATGTGTCAAGTATCTTCCATTATCAAGCCCCTCATGATATTATTTTCTCCTTTCAGAAACTCCTTCCCCCTTCAATTTGCTTCATTAACTTCTGTTGAATCTTCAGCTCTCAAATGAAATGTTTCAATATTACTTCATTCAGAAGTTTTTTAATCCTAAATCTGCTTTGCTTCAGAATAGCTTGGTTTTCCCATATGTTGTTATAACAACTGAAATTTTTCCATTATATCATAGGTAATATGTGTTTACCTGTTCCATATCTGCCTTTCCCTGATACTAAAACTCCGTGAAAGTAGGAATGTGTTTATTGCTATATCCCTAGTATTTAGCACAGCAGTTACTCTGTTCTATGTGTTGATTTCACAAAAAACTAAATAAAATTTTTTAAGTTGTAAATTAGTTTCTCTAATTTATCCTATGGGCTTGGGATCAATATAACATACTCTCTTTTTGCTCCTTATTTGTAAGATGAATATAATCTCTTCTCACTGATATGATTAGAAAGGTAAAAAAAAAGCTTTGAATTATGAATATGTAAAACAACCCCAATTGCATTGAGGTTTGAATATATCTGTGAACCTGTGCAACCAATAATCTGGAGGAGAAAGATAAAAAGAAAGAGGAGGAGGAGGAGGAAGAAGAAGACGAAGGGGAGGAGGAAGAGGAGAAGAAAGAGAAGCAGTAGCAATGGCAACAGCAAGAAACATGCAGGAGATAAATATGAAGGCAAAGAAACAGTAGTAGCATCAGCCATAGCCAGTCGACATCATGTCTGTGTTCAATGAAAAGGACATTCAAATAAAAATGGACTCCATTTTCTCAATATTAAGGGCAGGAAGTGAGCTTACAATAGAATGTGCCCACTTGCAATATGTGAGTATTCTGCCTGTTTCCTTTGACTGTGGCCACAGTCCAGACTCCTTTTGGATATATAGTGCTGGCTAGACTCCCAGGATTGGATCTCAGCCCAGGTCTATCTTGTTGGTCTTCAGAATACTCCTTTGAGAGATTTTATTTGGAAAAGGGAACACTTCAGTGAGTATCATGGCACTTTACAAGTATGATCAGCAGAATGTGCAGTTGCAAAACTGCACTTCCCCCAAATCTTTCCTACAGTGAGAAGGTGATGACCAGAAATTCAAATGTTGGGGATTTCCAATTGGAGGTGATATGTGAGATACACCTGGGCATATTTGCAACTGGAGCAAAAAGAACCATACACAACAGCAATGTATAATAAGCCATTAAGTAACAGACCAGAACCAGATTGAGTCAGAGACAGTGTCATGATAGAGTAGTTAATTGAGTTGGGTGTTTTAATTCTCCATTGCTGCCATAAAAATTACAAGCAATGTAGGGTATTAACAGAAATGTGTTATATCACAATTCTGTAGATTAGAAATCTGATAGAATCTGTTGTATTCTCTGTCTAGAGACTAATAAGACCAGAATTAGATGTCAGCAGATCTCGGCCCTTGTCTAGAGTCTCTTGAGGATAATTCTCTTTAGACTTATTCACGCTGTTAGTCGAATCGAGATCCATGCAGTTAGAAACCCTGTTTACTTATTAGATCTAGGTCTGAGGCTCACTCTAAGCTGCTAGAGGCTGCCTACATAGTCAGGTGTATGGGCCTCCCCTGCATCTTCACAGCCAGTGATGACAGATGACAGACAGATGACAAATGAAGTCTTTCACACTTCAAATTACTATTGCCAGTTTTTCCTTTCCGATTTTGAGGCGCTCTCTCTCTTTCTCTCTCTCTCTCTCATACACACACACACTTTTTATTTTTTATTTTTGTCTTATTGCTCTGGCTCGAACTTCTATTATTATGCTGATAGGAAATGATGAGAGTAGGCATCTTGTCTTTATGGAATCTTAGAAGGAAAACTACTATTCTTTCTCCATTAATTACCATGTTAGCTGTGGGATTTTCATATATGGCCTTTATTGTGTTGAGGTAAGTTATTTACAAACCTATGTTTTTGAGAGTTTTAGGTATGAATGGATGTTAAACTTAGCCCAATGCTTTTTCTGCATTTATTGAGATGAATATGTAGTATTTTTCTTTCATTTTATTAATATTTTGCATCCATTGATTGACTTTTATATGTTAAATCATTTTTGCATCTCAGAGATAAATCTCACTTGATTATGCTGTGTGAGTCTTTTAATATACTGTTGAAGTCAGTTTACTAGTATTTTATTGAAAATGTTTGCATCTCTTTTTATCAAGGATAGTGAATTATAGTTTTATTTTCTTACAGTGTCTCTGTCTAGTTTTTGTATCAGCAAGAAATTGACCTCATAGAATGAGTTTAAAATGTTCCTTCTTTTATTACTGAAAAAGTTTAATAAGTATTGTTACTAATTCATTGGTAGAATTCACCTGTGAAACCATTGGTTGTGGACTATTGTTTGGGGGGAAATTTTGAAAACTGACTCAATCTTCTTATTTGTTATTGTTCTGTTAATAGTTTCTAATTTTAGGGGGTCTATTTTGGCAGATTGTGTGTTTTTAGTTATTTATCCATTTCTTCTAAGTTTTTCAGTTTGTTGGCATATAATTATTCATAATAATCCCCTGTTATTCTTATTATTGTTATGGCATTAGTTGTAACTCTTCTTTCATTTCTGATTTTATTTCTCTAAGTCTTCTATTTTTTCCTTAGTCTAGTCAAGGGTTTGTCAATTTAATTTATATTTTCAAAAGAAATGTTTTTACCTATTAAGGCTCATGTAATTACTTTAGGCACAGTCTGGTTTATCCAATATGATCTTCCCATCCCAAAGTTCATAACTCATCACACTTTTAAAGCTCTTTTTGCTATGTAACCTAAAATATCCACAAGTTCCAGAGAGAATGATGTGGATATTTGGGGGGAACCATTATTCGATCATTATTAGCCTACATTGGGTTAGTAGAACTGATAAACCACACATTCATTCTTTAGAAATCAAAAATGAAAAATGTATCCAGAATCCAATCAAAATGATACACAATAGAGCTGTGTCAATATTGAAAAAATCTTCCTATTATTAACACAACTGGAACCAATATTAGATGCCTAGATCTTAGTTACACGTTGTGATGTTTTGAAGATATTATTGGAAGATATCTAAGAAAATGTTTCTGAGAGACAAATAAATTAATAGGACCAAATATTATTCTCCCTACATTTATTGGTTGACATGATTGTACATAGCATTATATGGTCAAAAGCTGGCACTCATTTAAGATATGTAAAATATATGTTCTGGAAAAACTTCCTCAATGCTATTAAGGTTTACTAAGAGCTAAGCTAGAATAAATTTGTGCTACCTATTTAGAATTGCACTAGAGAATCTAGTTACACTGGAATATTTTTTTCTTTACTTTTTTCCTCTATTTTTGCTTTTATCTCAGCAAAAATGGAAATGATGACATTGTTACTTGATATATTTAATGACCTGAAAATCTCATGCTGATTTCTCTCCAAGCTTCACCTCAAAAGACATCACAGATTTTTCTAAGGGAAACACTGACCTAATGGATTTCTTCTTAATGACAGACAATGTGATAAAATAATTCATTTTGGCAAATACAGGTCTGTCTCCGCTTGGCTTTTTGAAGTACATCTGGTGTTCCTCATTACAAAAGAAGCTAGTAAATGAATACTCCTTGGGCACCGTGTGCAATGCCCAACTACCTGTAAATCTGTTTTGGCACACTGAGATACTGCTGTATTCTCCACTTGTCTATTTTAGGGAATTCATAAACACAGCTTGGCTTGTTTATTACAGTTCAAAAACCTGGCAAAGTACATCACTGCAGCTCTTTTTCATCTGCTCTGTTGACACAAAGATCAATGACCCTTTTTGAATGATCGAGATTTTGACAGTTTAATTTCCGTGTCATGAGTTGCTAAGGTAACACTATTTTGTGAATTCTACAGTTAATAAATCTTTAAGAAATGTCTTCCATTTTTAGTATTGAAAGTAATTTAATGTTAAAGTTAACAATATTTATTTCATGGTTCACTTTCCATTCACTGAAGAAACTCACTATGCCTGTTGGCTATTGTCTTCTTTCTTGGGATAATTGACTCAATCTGGACAACAAATAACTTAAAACACAATGCCTTGCAACTGAAAAGGACATCAAATATCTCAAAGAAGAAAATAAAGCAACACCTTTTTGATAGCTTTTGAGATGAGTAGACAAAAGTACAGCTTTCAAGGCACCCTTTAGATTTGAAGATTTTGTTTTATTTTCAAGATCTTATATAAAAGTCAATAATGGCATATACATATAGAATTTTCAGAGATAAGTAAGATATTCTCTTTCTGGTACTGTGTAACAAATTACCACAAACTTAGTTACTTAAAACAATGCCATTTATTACTGTACAACTCATATAGGTTAGAAGTCCAGGTATGGCTGAGTTGAGTTGAGTTTTTCACTCAGAATTTCACAAAGCTAAAATCAAGGTGTCACCTTGGCTTCATTCTTTTCTGGAGCTTAGTGTCCTCTTTCAAACTCATCTGGTTTTTAGAACTAAATTTCTTACGATTGTTTAAGGCCATTGTTCTCCTCCTGGCTGTTGGACAGGGAGGGACCACTTTCACTTCCTACAGGCTGCCCAGGGTTCCTAGTCATGTGGACTCCTGCACAGGCCCTCGCAACTTTCAATGCCTTAACTACAGAACGGGATCAGTCTTGTTAAGGACTCACCTGATAATATGAAGCCCAACTGGATAATCTCCCTGTTAATTAAATCAAAGTCAGCCAATTAGTAATAAGATCACAGGAAGCATATCCCACCACATTCACAGGTTATTCCAGAACTCAAGAGGGGGGGATTATATAAGATTTACATAGCAAGGGCTAGGGATCATAAAAGCCATCTTAAAATTCTGCCAATCACAAGTAGGTTTTGTGTACTCAAATGCAGAGCATTACTATTCATAAAATAAAAAATTCCAAGGACATATTGGTGATCGATTGATGTTATTTCAAAGGATTAATTCTTAGCCTTTTTACATTTGCAAACTTCTCTTTTGCAATACCACTGTCCTTATAAAATAGCATTCTGACATGTCTGTCTGCTCATGCCAGAGAGATGATTGAACTGTTAGATTTGCATATTAATATTTAAAAATGGTAATAATATATTTTAATAAATATAAAATCATATTGATACATTTATAAGAATTATCTTATACAATTTTGAACTCTAAAATTATGACAATTCATAAGATAAATTTTAATTGCAACTCCCAGGAAAATATTTTAGTTGCTAGGAAATACATATTATGTAAAATATAAAGGAGAAAACAAACATGCAGCTTGAGAAACATATTCTAGGGGCAGGTCATTTCAAGAATTTTATAAAAATCAGATGCCCTGATGAAGAATAATAGTAATTGGTTACACCTGTAACTCTAGGATGACTTGTGATAGTAAATGTAATATGAGAAATTAATCACCTATTACAGGCAGTAGCAGCATAATACTGAGAATTCAGATTGGTGTCATAAGAGTGGATATCAAATTGAGAAATCAGTTATTCATCATAAATAAAGTATCCAAATGGATTATGAACCTAGTCATCAGAAATATTAAAAGAAACACATATACCCCCCCCCCAAAAAAAACCTCTATAAATCTCTTCTGTAAAGAAAAATGAAGGAAATATTCTTTTGTGGAAACCTTAGTATCACAAATAAAGCAACTATTCTATAAGTAATTTACATGAAACATGTAAGTATATGTTTCTTAAAGCTATGAATGTGAATAGGTAGTGAAGAGTCCAGATTTAAATTAATTTATAATTTAATATCTTTATAAAATCAAACACCCATATATTGAAAACTGAATTTCTTTTCTGCCATTACAAATATTTTTTCTCTTCCTATGTTCTAATATTTTCAAATGATAACATCACCACCTACATAGTCATAGTCAACACAGCATTATATCTCAGTCACAGAACAAATCATCAAAGATTTTGATTCCATGTCAAAAAGGTATCAAATTTTTCTATTGTTTTGTTTATTGAAAATTTCTATTGTTTTTTTTCTTTTTACTTTGGGAAATTTTAACCTGATTGATTCTCTCCCTCTAAAATTCAGGTTTCAAAAGACTAGTTTGCAGCCCAAGCATCTATCTTTCCTAAAAGTGGCATATGTTATTTTAATGAGGAATTTGATGAAAAATATTATGATCTTCTGGCTTTTATTCTTTATATATACTCAAAAGTGGTATTCTTTTTAATAATTTATTTTCTTATTACTATATATCATGCACAAAGTTCTGATTACATAACCTTAAAAATGAGCATTATATTAGTCATTCATTTACAAATTTCCACTTTTTCCCATCCCTAAGTGATAAACTTAGAATTCCTAAGCATGATACCCAAGATTCATCAAAATGTATTGCTGCTAGTCTTGCACTAATTACAACTTTTCTTCCAACAATATTGAACTTTCACTATTAACTGGCATAGAATACATTTTCATATTGCTGTCACTTTTATTTATACTCCTGTTCAAGATGTTCTCATTCCCAAAATATTATCTGCTACTTTTTTTGTTTTTGAAATTTTCTACTCATCCTTTAAGATTTGGCTTAAGGGTTATCTCTTCAATGTTATATTGCCTTACTTATCCAAGTAAAGGTAATTGGTCACTCTTATGTGGTCGCACAAAAAGTTTCTTAATACTTTAATAAAGTAATACATTTTTACAAGTCTGTCTTTTAAAGTCCCACTTCTGCAACAATATGAGCCATAGCTTATTCAATAGGCTTCATCTGCATCATTTTATACAGACCAAGGTTTACAGACTTTCTCTAATACACATTTGTTTCATTAATAATGAATGAAAAAATGAATAACTGCACGTGTGCGTCAGAAGGGGTCAATTTCTTGCCGGGTAACTTTTTCCTGGGACTGTCTGAATTGATGGCGATAAAAGTGAGATAATTTGATTAAGCGTATTTACTATGGTTAATCATGTTAAGGTAGTAAATATTTGTCTCCGGAATAGTTGTGGAAATATATTTGTGGACCTTGATCAATTTGTTTTAAGGCGAAATATTAAAAGCCTAAGTGTGCAGTAAGAGAGTGACCTGGCTATGTGCTTTGACTTAAAGCTATCAGTTTTATTCATCACTACATTTTGTCAGCAGCTGGGAGAGAGAGCTGAGCTGCCAGGTGTCAAGAGTCTCCGATTAAAGCAATATGCCAAAAATGAAAGCAGTAATCCTTTAATCACTTCCTGCAATAGTGTAAGCAAGAAGCTAACACCAGAGAAAGAGCCGATTCCCTCTGTTCCATTTGCCCCCATGGAAGAGCACACGCCAGCGGAGGATATAGGAAATCTGCACAGACATGGGGGTCGTCTTGCTGTCGGGGGAGCCCTGAAACAAAAGGCTTGGCAGTACGATGAACTGGGATTGAAGGGAGGGCACGAGGTGAGCGCTAAGAAAGGAAAGGTATTAAGTACTGGGTCAGAGTGGGGAAAGCATCTAAAGAGTTTTGTCATCCTCTCTCCAATAAAGAGGACTCAGCTGAGGCAGGTAAAGACAACTCTCCCCAAAGCCTCAGATAAAGGCACCTCAGCATGAAGGCACTGGGGCTTGGAGATACCGGCTGGGGGTCTTCAATTGTTTACTCCCTTTGGAAACTACAATACATTGGCTGTGCACCAAGTCTGGTGTGGAGAGGGCAGCTTTCTCCCATGGGGCCGGCCATGAAAAGCCTTTGTGATTGCCTGTGATCTGGCCTAAAAAATCACACAGGATTTTGTCCTGGAGCCGGACTACCCACATTTGACAGGAAATCAAGCGACACGTGCATGCATTTGGTATAAAATGCAAAGTAGCAAAAACGTATTTAGCAATGAATGAATATATCATCTAATCAATGTGGTCTTCTGTTATTTTTTAAATGATGTCTATTTGCATCATAGCTTAGATGAATCTGCAGCTGATATAAATCTAGGGGGACCTGAGGAATGAGACAGAATCATTGCAACAGGAAAACTATTGCCAGTAGGAGTCTTGACTAGAGACAGGCCCGCACAGTGACCAAATAAAAAAATCACTAGAATATCTTGTTTACAATGGATTTTATTCGTTTGTACCATCATTTAACAAATATTAAAAGGAAATTTACCATGTATGTAAGACATGGTCTCTGATTTCAGAAAGACTGTAGATGAGATTGTGTAAGGATAAAAAACTCTTCAGTTGTGGAGAATGGCAAAACTGAGATGAGTTATTGGAGAACAAAACTGTTGTACAAGGACAGAAAAGTACAAATCTGAGATCCAGGCATACTGAATATTTGAAAGTTTTTCTTTAATTATGTCTACATAAGTTTAGTTTAAAAAAGAGATAAATAAGATAATCAATTCTATCAGATTGGCTTCTAAAATTTTGATTCAAATATGCAGACAAGTGCTACAATCTGGAGATGTTGACTTGCAGAGAGTTTTGTGGCACTAGACTGGATTTTTGAAATTCTTTTCTGCTAAATATTCTTCACATTCTCTCAAAATGTACTATTTGCAATGATTAAATTTGTGTGTCAATTTGGCTAAGCCATAGTGCCAAGCTATTTTACCAAACGCCAGTCTAGACCTCCCTAAGAAGATATTATTTATTTATTATTAACTTTTAATCAGTAGACTTTGAGAAAAATGGATTACCCTTCATAATGTGAGTGAGTCTCATTCTATCAGTTTGACTGAGGTACCCCTAAGAAGAAGGAATTCTTCTTCCAAACTGTATTCAGACCAGAGTTGTAATATAAACTCATCCTTAGACCTCCTGTCTGCCTGTCTGCCCTGGAAATTTCAGACTTTCTGGCCCTCCCAACTCCTTAAAATGTCTTTGTCCAACTCTCTATCACTCTCATACACACACATACGTGTGTGTATATATATATGTGTTACACATGCACACATACCCTGTTACTTCTGTTTCTCTAGAGAACTCGGACTAATATCTAAGTTTTAAAGTTATTTCCTAAAGAAATTTGTCCAACTGATCTCTTTATTCAATCAAATTATTTGCTCTACTCATGACATTTAAACATATGTTACATTGGAGTTTTCTTGAACTATTATTTAAATATGCTTTAACTTTCTAATCTTCTACTAATTTATTTTGATTCAGTAATTTCTCAAAAAGATAAATGTTCCTTCTGAGGGGGTATTATATCTCACAGTGTTTCCTACAATGCCTAACAAATAGTTTTATGTGTATAAAACATCAATAAATGGATTATAATTCAATCTGAATGCAGTTTAGAGTTCAGTTTGCCTCATTTTATTTTCTCAATCAACTTTGCTATTCTATTTAGTTGCCACATATAGTTGTGGAGGGTCTAACAAATAGTCTTACATTATGGCCTTGTTTAAAGAAATGGAAATAATACTCCAAAAAACAGAGTGTGAATGAACTCTTGATCCTTTCACCTTGACAAATAATAATAATAATAAAGTGCATCCCAGTTCATAAATGAAAGAATATCTTCAAGAAGATAGATTTAGCTTGAAAACACTTGCTTTATAAAAAAGAAGAAATTACCATAATTTCCTGTTTTGGATTACAGTTTCCCAGATTTTACTGGGGGAAAAAAAGGAACACTGTGTGTTTAACAATATTTTTTCCCATATATTTACAGGAAGCATTTCATGATATAGTTTTCACAATCCTTTAAAGGGACCACTGATTCACTATGAGTTATATACTTCAATCATAATAAATTCAAATTAGATACTTATTGATTTAAATATTGGTTGTTCCTGAATCATATCTTTACAGAAGTTTCTAGGGTCCTTGAATATTTTTAAATCATTCAAAAGGATACATAAAATTATGACATCCATAGATTTTTGTTTTTTGTTTTTTTTGAGATAGAGTCTCACTCTGTCACCTGGGCTAGAGAGCATCATCATAGCTTACTGCCATCTCAAAATCCTGAGCTCAAGCAATCCTCCCCTCTTTGGCTTCCCAGACTGCTAGGATTACAGGCGTGAGCCACCACCGCTCCCAGCCTCTATATTTTATTTTAAAGTTTTATTTATTTATGTATTTATTTATTTATTTTTTTGAGACAGAGTCTCACTCTGTTGCCTGGGCTAAAGTGCCGTGGTGTCAGCCTAGCTCACAGCAACCTCAGACTCCTGGGCTTAAGCAATCCTCCTGCCTCAGCCTCCCAAGTAGCTGGGACTACAGGCGCACCACCATGTCTGGATAATTTTTTCTACTTTTAGTATAGACGAGATCTTGCTTTTGCTCAGGCTGGTCTCGAACTCCTGAGCTCAAGGGATCCTCCTGCCTCGACCTCCCAGTGTGCTAGGATTACACACGTAAGTCATTGAACCCGGCCCTTTTAAAACTTTGAAAATGATTCTTCTTAGATTTTTCTTCCTTCATAGTTTTTACAATATTTTCTAGGCCATGACACTTGAAAGTACTTGAAGAACATGAAAATAATCCCAATAAATAAAAGAAACACTGATATCATATTTAAATTATTTTAAATTTAACTCGCTTTTAAAGAATATACACTTATATTTATTCAATTCATGTTAAAATGTAATTTCAAGCCCAATTCATCTTATTGTACTATATGTGAATATATTATTCAAGATATTTTCTTTACTTACTCTCAAATGCATTAGTTTAAGGAGGTACTTACTGTATTAAACAGAATTAATACATCCTATGATTTATGGCCTGAAAAAAATTTTAATTCTTACAATTAATTCAAAAAACAATTTTGAATTACATCATAATGAAATTAGTGCAAGGTAAGTGTTCATACATTTTTATCTTTTGACAAGAGGAATAACCATCTTGTAGGGGTAGATGGATTCCATTTCCCTTGGAATCGAACTGCAGACAAAAGCAGATGATGTGTATCTGATGAGAGAAAACAATAGAATTTGCACATGCACTAATTAAAAATATGTATTTAAAATATGTGTTTTTGAACATATAAAATGTGTTACTTGACAACATATACATAGTTTGTTATCAAGCATCTTTATCTTATTTTATACCATTTCTACTTTCTTGGACTCACATACACTTTTCTCTAAGATGAATCCCAGATGCACGTACATTTGAAATAGTTTTTATTTGCATTGATTTATTTTCTTGTCTAGATTGTCAGCAAGAAGGAGAAATAAGCTTTCCAAAGATTAAAGTTGATATAATTATTGAAGACAGAATCAGATTTGAGAATGGGTCTGCTGAATTCAAGTTTACCTTTCTCTTTTTTCCTGATGTTGTGATTTGAAAAGCACTCAAAGAAGCTTCTGTGAACTGACATCTGCCCGGATCATGTGTAACTAGACTGAATGAGGCCTTACAGATCAATGATCATAAGTCTGGCTGGCAGACTTACATTTCATGAAATCATAAGAGAATATTGAAGTAGCTTGAAACTTGTATAAGTGGAAACTCTGCCTACAGCACATTCTTAGCTATAGCAAATGTTTCCAAAACCTCTTCTCTAACAAAAAGAGAAAAGCACATATTGAAGAGTGGAAAAGGATATTTTATAACAGTCAGGAAATTTCAAAAGAGCTGGGGAAGAAAAAGAGAGAGAGGTACCACGTAAGATTTCATAAAAATCAGTCATACACAATAAGTGGAAACGTTTCTGAATTTAGCATACCTTTATTTCCTTTAATATTTCTCCTTTCTCATCATAGCTTTTCTGCCATAATAAAATCTTGTTGATTGTTTTTGGAACTATTAGCCTAGATTTTCTAATCCTATAGAAAGCCCATAACAAAAATACCATTCCAAAACACTTAATAGAGTACAATCAACTAGATCCATATTTAGACTCCTTAGCATACGTAATAAATAGACCATTTCTTAGTTTTTATTTTGTAATTATTATCCTGTATTTACTTTTAATATATTTCTAATTCTTTATATGTCTGCTTTGCATATTTTACCATAAGTTGCTCAAAAGAAAGAACTATATCTTAATTGTCATACTTATATCTCTACTACAGAGTAATATTACTGTTTTTTTAATAACTTACGAATATATTTGTATTGTATTTATTTTTGTATTGTATTTTTGTATTTGTATTTATTTCTGTATTGTATTTTTTTAATAACTTACCAATATATTTGTATTGATTGAATGTTTCTCTGGTAAAATCCAAGATATTACCAAAAGGGCTGCTCTGTTTTATTTGTTTCACATTACTTTTGTTTAAGTAGACCTGAAGAAGTCATTTACATTGTGTAGAAGTTCCATTTCCCAAGCAAGTAGCTGTCTGCTTTTTGTTTGTTTCTGTTTATCTGTGTATTTAGATATAATATGAAAAACATAGAGAAAAACAAAACACCAAATTTATATAATGTGGGCATGGAATTTGTTTGCTTTATATAAAAATTCTAGAAAAGTGAGAAGAAATTTATTCTCTCTTTCCTACCTTGTAAATTGACCACAGATTTCAAAATTAGTATTTCTGTAGAGGTACTTGCAGTTGACTTTCACACAAATGAAATTGATGCAAGGGCATATACTGAATGATTAATCAGAAAATATTTACTCAAGAAATATCTTTTAAAATTAACACATCAATTACATTTTTGGAAATTAAATGGGTGTCTTAATAACAAGACACTGGAGGCATACTATATTATAGTTCATAGAGTAGTTTATCTCTTACACAGCGTTTTCCATGATATAAAAATTATTTATTCTATTCAAATAATTTATATTATTCATACAAATTGGACATCAAACAAAAGTGATATGCAATCAGAACGATTAGTAGATAATTCAGATGTATGTCTGGATTCCATAATTCCAAATAACATGATACATAAGTTCATTTAATGAACATGATACATCAGTTCATTTAATGTTTTTTAAGTTTATGAAACTTAAAAAATTAAGCAATATAAAGTTTATTTAATATCAAAACATTTAGGGGGTTATTCCACCTGACACTAAACATTCAAATGAAAACAATGCTTTTCATAGATGCAGAAAAAATATTAAAATCATTAACACAAATTCTTAAAGGAAGGACATCTAAATATAATTGTTCATTTAGAGAATTTTTATATAATTAAATGATCAAAAATAATTCTTTTGGAAATATACTTGATAGAGAAAATTTAGATGTATTTTGAGTGTCAGAAATTACAGTCATTCACTTGCTATCATTCTTTGTATGTAAAAGTGTACTCAGTCCATGGCTCAGCCAATACAATAACAGAAAAAAATATAAAGGGAATAAACAAATATGGGGAAGAAATAAGTAAAAGTGTTATCATTTGCAGATCCTATGATAATCTACAGAAAACATGTTCAGAAGAATCAATAGTACCGATGGCTAGTTAGAATATAAGGTAAATGTAAAAAAATGTATGCCATTTATAATAGTGACACATACTGTATGGTCAGAAGAAATAAATACAACAACATATGTAAACATTTGTTATGAGAAATGTTACAAAATAATAATTGGAACTCATAAAATACTTGAAAAAAATAGATCAGTACATGTGGGAAGGCTACGAAACCTCAATATTGGACATGGTTTAAAGATTTTTTGATAATCAAAATACTTAAATAAGCAAAATATTTGAACAGTCAAGACAATTATGAAAAGTAGCAGTAAAATTCTTACATTTCTGTTTAGCAAATACATTTTGTACTTATTTACTTCTAGGCCCTGTTCTTCAAAAGTCAGCTCATTTAATCCTCCTCACTGCCCACTGAGGCATGCTGTGTTGGTCTTATAAATCCTGACACTAGAGGCTCACCAAGGTTCTGTAGGTTATCAAAGGCCATACAGCTGGTTAGCAGTGAAGTTGCTATGTTAATTCAGAAATCCATATTGGGAATCTATACTCTTATATTAATTAAATATTATTAAATTGAGATATATATATATAGAAGTGAAAAATAATATAGAGCATCCAGAAACATATCAAAGCACTTATAAAAATTGGCATAAAATAGGCGAATGCATTGATGAAATGCAGACTGATTAATAAGTAGTTTGGGAAAAATTACCTTGATGTGCAGATAAAGAAAATGAAATTCTTACCTCACACCAGATACAAATATAAAATATAAACTTCAGCATCATTAAAGTGCTAAATATAAGGGAGAAAACCTAGTATGATGAATACTTTTATTCCCTTTGCACATGAAAAGACATTTCCTAGTTCAGAAACAGTTCTTACAACTCATAAAGAAAAATATACATTTGATAGCATCAAATTGAACAACTTTATAACAAAAGACACTATAAAGTGAACATAACAAAAGATGAGAAAAATATTGGCTACTCATATAATACAAGATAAATATCTGGAATTGATAACTATTTCTTATTATATGACAATGGAAAATAATCGAATTTCTAAAAATTGGAAAATGTAGGTTACAGGAAAGTTGCAGAAAAAAATCTCACTGGCTTCAAAACACATGGGAAAATAGACTCAACTGTACTAATAATTTCTGTTAGTCATTAGCAATTAATGACATTCAAATTGAATATTGAAATGCCATTTTATAACATTAAATTTGTCCTGAATCAATAAGTTTAACAATGAGTAAAGTTCATAAGAATGTTGTGAAGTGATGTACCTATTTCAATTAGAGTTTTGCATAACAAGTAAAATTTTAAAATGTGTATATCATGACACTGAAGATTTCCATTAGTCAGTGGAATAAAAACATGCCTTGTAAAATTATATGTCTTGATAGGTTGCATATACTACTAATAGGAAAATCGTGTTACATTTATATAGAAAAAATTATGATGATGGTAGTCTTCAGGATACATATCAGATTATTTAGATGGAAACAAGGGTGACTCATTCTGTAATTTCCTTTACTACTTATAAGTCAATAAATTTAAAATGAATACATATTTATTAAACTGTGACAAAATGTTAAAATATGTTAATTATATTTAGTGGCTCTCGAGGTGTTACTTATATGAAATGATGTAGTTTTATGTATTTGTAGTATTTTATATAATTGACACTAATTAAATTTCCATTCATACAACTGACCTAAGTACATTTTAAGTAATTTGAATGTTATTTTTTTTAAAAAAAACTATTAATCAGGATTAATTTTAAATGTAAAAAAAGGAAAAAAGAAAAATAGAAAAATTAAAAATTGACTAATTTAATTATCAAAATTATCAAAAATTTAACTATCAAAAGTCAAACAAAATAGACTGGGTGTATTGGGTCATGCCTATATTTGTAGCACTGTGGGAAGCTGAGGCAGAAAGATTGCCTGAGACTGGGAATTTGAGACCACCTTGGGCAACACAGTGAGACCCCATCTTTTAAAAAATTAGAAAAATTAGCCAGGTGTGATGGTGTGCACCTGCAATCCCTAGGTACTCAGGAGGCTGAGGCAGGAGGATCACCTGGGGATTTGAGGATTTTGAGGTTGCTGTGAGATATGATGGTGCCACGGCACTCTAGCCTGGGCAACAGAGAAAAACCTTGTATCCAAAAAATAGAAAAAAAAAATCATAGCAAAAGTAATATAGTCATATTCATATTATCCCAGTAAAAGTCGAAATTTGAAATATAATATGCCCAAAAATATATACAAAAACATATACTACATACTTCTCTGTATATCAAATACATACAAATTAAATTCATCCCTTGATATCCATGAAGATTGGTCCCAGGAACCACCTGTGGATACCAAAATCTGTGGTTGTTCAAGTTTCTTAAGTAAAATGGTATAGTATTTGCATATGACTTATACACATATTCCTGTACACTTTAAATTATCTCTATATTATTTATGCTATATAAGTGGTTGTTGGACTATTTTTATTTGTATTTTTGTTGTATTGTTATTTTTTATCGTTTTGTTTTTCAGATATTTTCAATTTGTGGTATGTTGAATTTGTATATGTGGAACCCACAGATACAGTGTGATGACAGTATATTTAAAATTCATGCTATCAGCTCTTTATGCCATTAGTAATTTTTTTGCTTAATAGTCTTCATTTTTAGAGCAGTTTTAGGTTTACAGAAAAAAATGATTGGAAAGTACAGGATTCCCAGATAATCATATCCAACCCAAAATAGTGTCTTCTATTATTAACATCTTGAGTTCGTACTTTTGTTACAATTTATCAACTAATATTGATACATTATTATTAACTAAAGCCCATAATTTTTATTACCACTCACACTTTCTGTTAAATAGTACTATGGGTTTTGATAAATGCATATCATGTATCCACCATTGCAGTGTTGATTTGATTTCAGGCCCAAAATCCCCTGTGCTCCACCTGTTCATCCTTTCTTTTTTCTTCCAATCACTGACAACCAGTAATTTTTTACTGTCTCCATAATTTATCCTTATCCAGAATGTCATATAATTGGAATCATACAGTAAATAGCCTTTCAAACAGCCATCTTTAACTTAGAAGTATGCATTTAAGGTTTATCCATGTCTTTTTGTGACTTGATAGCTCATTTGTATTTAGCGAAAAATAATATTCCACTGTTTAGATGTACTGCAATTCATCCATTTACTTATCCTTGGTTGCTTCCAGTTTTGAGTAATTATGAATAAATCTGTTACAAAATCCACATACAGGTTTTTTAGTGTGCATATGTTTTCAACTTCTTTGGGTAAATACCAAGTATTGTGATCAATGGATTGTACAGTAAAAGCAGGTTTACATTTATAAGGAACTATCAAACTGTCTTCCAAAGTAGCTGTACCATTTGACAAATCCACCTGCAATGAGTGAAAGTCTAGTCATTCCACACCCTTACCAGCATTTGGTGGTGTTGGTGTTCTGGCTTTTGGTCATGTAGATTGTTGTGTAATGGTATATTATTGCTATTTTAATTATTTTCATTTCCCTGATAGCAAATGATGTGGAGCATCTTTTCAGATGTTTATATGGCATATATATAGTTTCTCTAATATTAATGTCTGGCTAATTTTTTGATCAGGTTGTTTTCTTATTTTTGAGTTTCAAGAGTTCTTTGAATATTTTGGATAAAAGTCGTTTATCATATATGTGTTTTAGAAATATTTTCTCTAACTATGTGGCATGTCCTTTCATTTCATATTTTTTTTTTTTTTTTTTTTGAGACAGAGTCTCTCTTTTGCCCAGGCTAGAGTGCCGTGGCGTCAGCCTAGCTCACAGCAACCTCAAACTCCTGGGCTCGAGTGATCCTTCTGCCTCAGCCTCCCGAGTAGCTGGGACTACAGGCATGTGCCACTATGCCCGGCTAATTTTTATATATATATATCAGTTGGCCAATAATTTCTTTCTGTCTTTATAGTAGAGACGGGGTCTCGCTCTTGCTCAGGCTGGTTTTGAACTCCTGACCTTGAGCAATCCGCCCGCCTCGGCCTCCCAAGAGCTAGGATTACAGGCGTGAGCCACAGCGCCCGGCCTATTTCATATTTTTTTATTTTTATTTTTATTTTTTTTCTAAGTTCACGTGAGAGGAGTAATGAGCCAACATTGCAGCAAGGTTTAAGGGAGGCACATCTCACACATGTGCATGGACACCCAGCCATCACGCTTGTGAACTGCAAAAGGATCGTGTCTTTTCAATTTTTTAAGAGTAGTTTTCTCAAATCAGCTGGTTTCAGATTTAATGAAGTCTTAATTCATTTGTTTCTCCTGTGTTCGGGGTGAGAGTTCGCCAAGTAATCTCGGTTCTCTGAAGGGATCTGAAAGAGATGCTGATTGTAAGTTTGTTCAGTTTTTGTTCTTATTGTTAGGACAGGAATGATGATTTCCAACCTCTTTACATGTTGTACTTGAAACTTGAAACTCAGAATTTTTTTGTGGTAATAACAAATGTGGCGTTATAGTGTGATGGACAAAACAGCAAGAGAGTAAATATGTAGAAATTCTATGGAAAATAATTGGAAATTGTACATAAGTAGCAATATTTTTAAAAGTCCCCATCCAATAGTCACTATGAAACCTCCATGAAAGCAGGGAACTTTTCTATTATTATATTACTAATGCCTAAGTCAATGATGGTATAGATGGCAAATTAATAAAAATACACTACATAAATCAATTATTAATTAGCATCTTAGCATATATCCTAAATAAATGTTCAGAAGAGAAAACAATGACTTTATATTTGCCTACTACAGCAAGAAAATATTAAAACACCTAAATACGCAATAATGAGATTTTAAATTAATAAGTGCATATTCACATGAAGAGAATTTATACAGCATTTAAGAATAACTTGATAAAATGACCATCTTACACTAGATGATAGATGTATTATGGTAGTTAACAGTTAAGTGCTCATTTTACAAAATATGGTAAATAATATACTTCTATTTTTCTATGAATAGTGATATCCTATGGATTTTTCCTCAATCATTATATAAATCTTCTACAATCTTGTAAATATTAGTTATAAAATATAGCAATCATTTAAAAGAATAAATGTATATACTTTTCAACATGAAATTAATAAAATTGTGTAATACAGAAGAGGAATTTTAAGATAATTTTAATACAAAGTAGTACTGATAATATAAGTATCGTTTTCCATTCAGAGAAACTATAAACTTAAAAATATTTTTGAGGAAAGATATGCATTTATCAAAACCCATAGTTCTATTTAACAGAAAGTGTGAGAGGTAATAAAAATTATGGGCTTTAGTTAATAATAATGTATCAATATTGGTTGATAAATTGTAACAAAAGTACGAACTCAAGATGTTAATAATAGAAGACACTATTTTGGGTTGGGTATGATTATCTGGGAATCCTGTACTTTCCAATCATTTTTTTCTGTAAACCTAAAACTGCTCTAAAAATGAAGACTATTAAGCAAAAAAATTACTAATGGCATAAAGAGTTGATAGTATGACTTTTAAATATACTGTCATCACACTGTATCTGTGGGTTCCACATATACAAATTCAACAAACCACAAATTGAAAATATTTGAAAATCAAAACAATAAAAAATATCAATACAACAAAAATACAAATAAAAATAGTCCAACAACCACTTACATAGCATAAATAGTATAGAGATAATTTAAAGTGTACAGTAATATGTGTATAAGTCATATGCAAATACTATACCATTTTACTTAAGAAGCTTGAACAATTGTGTACCCTTGTATCAGAATAATAGAAATTTTTTTTCTTTAGTCTCAGAGCTTTGTACCTCCACTCCAAAAACAGTTTGAAGATTTTTGTCTTGACTTTTTGTTTTGTTTTATTATTGTTTTCTGTTCGACCACAGTGTTAACTTTATCAGGTTTTTGCTCTGTTAATTAGATTTGGCTAAATGACTGAGTTTCATTTTTCATATCTTGTTATAGACACTAAATAAAGACATTTGAGCAGAGAACAATCAAATATTTATTGAAAAATGACACAAGTAATATGGTTAATTTCTAAAAGTAAGAAAAAATATTTAATGTGAATTATCATATCTAGTAGTATTGATTTTGAATATTTTAGAATATAAAATTTGTGTTTTAATATAATTTTACAGCAGAGATTTTTTATTAGTTAATATTTCAATCATAGAAATGTAAGATTTACATTAGAGTCATCAAGCTACTACTATAACTATACACCATCCTCTTAAAAATTTGAAAATAGATTTTAATTATTAGTATTATATTAACATTTTTCTTATTAAATATTATTTGTAAATAAAAATGCAATTTACAGTCTCAGAAACTGTCAACAGAAAAGAAGCCAACCTCTCTAAAATAATTGAAAGAGGTTTATTCTGAGCCAAATTTGAGGACCGTGACCCAGAGCCAAACCCAAGAAGCTTTGAACAAGCAGACTCGCTGTGGTTGGGTTACAGTTTGGTTTTATGGAAGACAGGGATTATAGGTAATACAGTCATAAATCAATACATGGAAGACATATATCAGTTTGGCCAAGAAGCTGGGACATCTCAAAGCAGAGGTTTACAATTCATAGGTTGGTTTAGGGACTAAAGTTGGCCATCTCAAAGCAGGGGCTTACAAATCATTGGTGGATTGAGGGATTCTTTAGTTGACAATTGGCTAAACGAGGTAAGCTTTATCCAAAAGACCAGGGCCAGGAATCAGAGGAAAGGAATGTTTGAGTTAAAATAAGGATCTTCTATCTTTCATGTGATGCTATGCCAGAGTCAGGTTGGGAAGTGAACCACATCATAAAAAACTTTTTACTGGCCGGGCTCGGTGCCTGTAATCCTAGCACTCTGGGAGGAAGAGGCGGGCGGATTGCTCCAGGTCAGGAGTTCAAAATCAGCCTGATCAAGAGCAAGACCCTGGTCTCTACTATAAATAGAAAGAAACTAATTGGCCAACTAATAGATATATAGAAAAAATTAGCCAGACATGGTGGCACATGCCTGTAGTCCCAGCTACTTGGGAGCTGAGGCAGCAGGATTGCTTGAGCCCAGGAGTTTGAGGTTGCTGTGAGCTAGGCTGACACCACAGCACTCACTCTAGCCTGGGCAACAAAGTGAGACTCTGTCTAAAAAAAAAAAAAAAAAAACCTTTTTACTGAGATTTTATCATTTGCAGGCATGACTCACCAGGCCCCTTAGAAAGGAATTTGGGCAAAAGAAAAAGATCACAGTTTAGTCCTCAAAACTATAACAGTTTTTCACTATTTTACATGATATAAAATGACTATTTTAAGGTAAAGGGACTTTTAGTAA